TCGCCGCAGCAGCCACAATCGCCGACGCTCTCGAAGAATGATCGTCGGCCAGCCCGGACCGGCAGAGTTTGCGGGCAGCCCGTGGCTACAATTGTGCGTGTGTGCGCGTGCGTGTGTGCGCGTGCGCGTGCGTGTGTGTGCGTGTGTGTGTGTGCGTGTGTGTGTGCGTGCGTGTGTGCGCGCGTGTGTGCGTGTGTGTGTGCGTGTGTGTGTGCGTGCGTGCGTGTGCGCTATGAACCTGGCGACACGGGTTCGATTCCCGCTCACGGCCAACACCCAGTGACGATTATCTTAACCGGTCCCGGGCCTCCCCTAGGTCGACTCAGCCTCAAATGAGTACCTGGTGTAGTGTGTAAACATTGCCACTAGGGAGACAAAGGCGGTCGGGCGTGGTGCTGGCCACCCACCCCCTCGTGTACCGTTACCGGCCTTCATAGGTGCTCGCTAACAGCACTTGTCCCTACAGTCTGTTAAGGCTATATGGGGGATCTTTGTTGTGTGTGTGTGTGTACACGTGTGTGTGTACACGTGTGTGTGCGTGCTTGTGCATGGGATGCATGGTCGCGCTACGTGCCCAGCAAACAGAGTTCGATTCCCGCTCACGGCCAGCACCGGTGACGGTTATTTCAACCGGTCCTGGGCCCCCCCCTAGGTGGACTCGGCCTCAAATGAGTACCCGGTGCAGTGTGTAAACGTCGCCGCCGGGGAGACAAAGGCGGCCGGGCGTGGAGCTGGGCCACCCAACCCGCATCATAGGTGCTCGCGGAGCACACTTGCCCCAAAAGCACGTCGAGGCTATACGGGGGGGGGCGGGGGGGGGGGGGGGGAGACTTTGTATTTGTTATTTATTTTTAACTCCACTGCTGAGCACGTGCCCGAAAGCCCGAAACCGGTTGCGAACCGACACGATCAAAAATGTAAACGGATAAGAGCGAACATGTTTCTCGAATCCAGCGGTGGTATTATGCTGCTGCGGTGCGAGGGGCAGACGCAGAGAGAGAGAGAGAGAAGCGTTGTTGCGACCTGCAGCTTGCCGTGGTTAGCGGGTGGCTGATCGATTTGGCGAGTGAGCGGACGTGGGTGGGGGGAACGGCAAAGCGTAGTGCAGCCCGAGTTTGACTTCCCGCTCACGGCCAATATCGGTGACGATTGTCTGAACCGGTCCTGGGCCTCACCCTGGGTCGACTCGGCCCGCAATTGAGTACCTGCTGCGACGTCTAAACGTCGCCACCGGGGAGACGGAAGGCGGCCGGGCGTGGTGCTGTCCTCCCAGCCACCTCGTGCGCCGTTCCAGCCCTCGTAGGCGCTCGCTTAACAGCACTTGCCCCCCGACAGCCTGCTGAGGCCATACCCGTGGGGTGTGGGGGGATCTTTTGCCTTTGAACGCGGGGGGGGGGGGGGGGGGAACGGCAGCGTAGCGGCTGGCACCCCCGCGCCGCGAACTCTTGCCGCAGCCGAGGGTCGGCGAGTTGGGGCGGTGACGGCGGCTGCGACGTAAATTCCCTGCCGGGTAATTTACCGTCGTTGGTCCGTCCAATTTTGTGTCGCACTTTGGGACCGCGATGCCGGCAAGCGGCGGCACCCTCTCCCACGGGCGCGTTTGTGTGCACGGAGAAGACGCGCCGCGGTGTTAACCGGGGCGGCCTGCCGGATTTTAACCGCGAGGCGCCCTGCGGCAAAGCGGCGAACGCGCCACAGACCCGCCGGGTCACGTGACCCCCCCCCCCCCCCGCCGCCGCCGCCGCCGCCGCACGCACCCCCCCTCCCCCCCCCATTTATATTAAACACGAGGTTTATATTATATAGACGTTGCGTTGAATATGTGTTACGGATGTCGCTGTTATTGCAGCGCTCGAGCGAAATGCGCCGTTTGAAGTCTTCTGCCAAAAAGCCTTTGCCCCAAGAAACGTTTCTTGGGACAATGCACGACCCCCCCCCCCCCCCGGTGGCACATTAACAATCCCTTAAGTAAATGTTACATACACAGGATCTTAAATTTCCATTTGAAGCTTTCGTGACTGCAAGGATTCATCTTCTTTGGTTCTTTCGGTAAGGTCACCACGTAGAATGAAAATAAAATAACAAAATAAAATAGATCTTCTTTGGTTCTTTCGGTAAGGTCACGTAGAATGAGAATAAAATAATAAAATAACACAATAACATTCTCACGACGTTTCGGCCACAGCACAAGCAGCCTTCTTCAGGTGAAAGAACAGAACTAGCAGCGTTAATTGAAGCTCTGTCGTCCCGACAGTTCTGTTATTTCGTGACTGCAAGGATTCATCTTCTTTGGTTCTTTCGGTAAAGTCATGTAGAATGAGAATGAAATAATAAATTGATAAAATAAAATAACACAATAAAATTCTCACGACGTTTCGGCCACAACACAAGGCTGCCTGTGTTGTGGCCGAAACGTCGTGAGAATTTTATTGTGTCATTTTAATTTATTATTTTATTCTCTTATTCTCATTCCACGTGACTTCACGCGGGATCTGTTCTTCTGAACCTCATTATTTCCTTGCCGCTTGATTCCTTGGCCTATTTCGGCCCGGTGTCGCCCTCCCGGCTCTCGCGTTTGGTTTTTGCAGCCTTCGGGGGAACTTTTTACAGGGCCTTGGTCAGGCCCGTCATCCAGCAGCAGGATCGGGCGATGGCGATGACGACGCGCATGCGCCCCTACGGTGCTCCGATCTGCGATGTATCCGATTTATTATCGTCATCGTCATTGTTTCACTTGTTTACCCAACCCTCACCTGAGTTCAAAGATGTTTCATTCAGGGGGCTCTATCCCGGGTTTTCGGAAATTGGGCAGCGATGGACATCTGTGAAAAAGAGCTTTACAGCCCATCGGATTTCCTCGAGTATAAATACACATTCTGATTCTGTGCGCGATCCCAGTATTGAGTGATTTGAGGTTAATGTTTGAGCACTGGGATGTATGGTTTGGCCAATAACAGTTTACATTATGTGGGGGGGGTGGTGGTGGGAGTGGTGGGTTGTGGGAGTGGTGGGTTGTGGGAGTGGTGGGTTGTGGGAGTGGTGGGTTGTGGGGGGCGGGTTGTGGGGGGCGGGTTGTGGGGGGCGGGTTGTGGGGGGCGGGTTGTGGGGGGCGGGTTGTGGGGGGCGGGTTGTGGGGGGCGGGTTGTGGGGGGCGGGTTGTGGGGGGCGGGTTGTGGGGGGCGGGTTGTGGGGGGCGGGTTGTGGGGGGCGGGTTGTGGGGGGCGGGTTGTGGGGGGCGGGTTGTGGGGGGCGGGTTGTGGGGGGCGGGTTGTGGGGGGCGGGTTGTGGGGGGCGGGTTGTGGGGGGCGGGTTGTGGGGGGCGGGTTGTGGGGGGCGGGTTGTGGGGGGCGGGTTGTGGGGGGCGGGTTGTGGGGGGCGGGTTGTGGGGGGCGGGTTGTGGGGGGCGGGTTGTGGGGGGCGGGTTGTGGGTTGTGGGGGGCGGGTTGTGGGGGGCGGGTTGTGGGGGGCGGGTTGTGGGGGGCGGGTTGTGGGGGGCGGGTTGTGGGGGGCGGGTTGTGGGGGGGCGGGTTGTGGGGGGCGGGTTGTGGGGGGCGGGTTGTGGGGGGCGGGTTGTGGGGGGCGCTTTAGCTATGGAGGAAACCAGAGTAGCCGGAAGAAACCCATGAAGACCGGAGGAGAGAATACAAACTCCACACACGCGCACAACAAAGGTCCCCCGTATAGCCTGTAGTAACAGACTTGTCGGGGCAAGTGCTGTTAGCGAGCACCCGGTGAAGACCGGCACGGCACACGGAGGTGTCCAGCACCACGCCCGGCCGCCTTTGTCTCCCTAGTGGCGATGTTTACACATCGCACCAGGTACTCATTTGACCTAGGGGGAGGCCCAGGATGGGTTCAAACAATCGCCACCGGTGTTGGCCGTGAGCGGGAATCGAACTCGGGTCGCCAGGTTCATAGCGGAGGGCGATAGCTGCTGGGGCCGCCGATTCCAACTCGCACGCACGCACACACACGCTCACAAACATCAATCCCCCCTTATAGCCTTTTAACAGACCGTTAGGCTCTGCGAGCGCCTACAAAGGCCGGCACGGTATCACGGGGAGGAAGGGAGGCACCCAAGTCGGGAATCGAACCCAGCTAGGCGGAGCCAGGATTTTTTAGGTAGGTGTGGGGGGGGGGGGGCAACCCCCCTCCAGCAATGAAAAACGATAGAGGAGTTGTTAGTTAGTAAGGACTTGTTAGTGAGTCGGAGTTGTTAGTTAGTAAGGACTTGTAAGGAGTTAGTAAGTAAGGAGTTGTTAGGAAGTAAGGACTTGTTAGTGAGTAGGAGTTGTGAGTAAGGCGCTGTTAGTGAGTAAGGAGTTGTTAGTAAGTAAGGAGTTGTTAGTAAGTGAGGACTTGTTAGTAAGTGAGGACTTGTCCCTTGATTTGTATTCGACGCGTGTGCGGCGATGGGGCAGCGCATCGACCGAGGGGTCCAATTGCGAACCGCGTTGTTAGTGATCGGCATCGCGCTCGCTGAAGGTGTCGATGCCTTCAGGGAAGTCGTGGACTCTGTAGACGCGACCGCGCGCAATTCTGTGAGTCGCTTATAAACCGCTTTGCCGTTACTTATTGCCAATTATGGACTGGGCTATTATCCTATCATCTCGTAGAGTGCCTGGCCACGTAATAATATGCTTACACAGTGGTAGTGGGGGTCGCAAAATGCCGATTTATTACTAAAAACCCCCCCAATGATCCGATCGAAATTAGGGATTTCGATGGGATCATTTGGGGGGGCCCGTGCCAACCCCCCCCCCCCCTGGCCCCGCCAGTGAGGCCCAGGCCGCTCCTTGCTGCGAGTCGAGACGAGCGTGACCACTGCGCCACCACCCAGCGTGAAAGCTACGCGGCCGTGATATTATTATTATTATTTAATATATTTTTTGTACGTATTATTTATTAAAATGTTTTTTCCACGGTGGGGGAGGGGGGGGGGGCGGGGCGGGGTGGCGGGAGAAAACCTTTGACCTTTGTCCGTGCGTTGTTGCGCTCAGGCAAGGACAAGGAGAAGAGCATTGAGGACGAGGCGACGGGCAGCAACATGATGGCCTCCGCGTTCCTGGGCCCGACGCTGTGGGACAAGACGCTGCCCTACATGGACAACTTCCAGCTCGAGTACATGGACCTGGACGAGTTCCTGTCCGAGAACGGCATCCCGCCCGCTCCGGGCTCGTCGGCCGCCGTCCCGGCCGCCCTCGTGCCGCAGCAGCAGCAGCAACAGCCGGCGCCGGCGACTCAGTCACCTCTGCCGCTACCGCCGGCGTCATCATCGTCATCGTCGTCGTCGTCGTCGTCGTCCGCCATCCCGCAGCCACTGCCGTCGTCGCTGTCCTCGACCATTCCGCCGTCGTCGCTGCAGCCCGGCACCGTGACCATGCTCCTGCCGGTCGGCGGCGGCGGTGGAGGAGGCGGAGGAGGCGGTGGAGGAGGAGGAGGAGGAGGAGGAGGAGGAGGAGCAGGCCTGCCCTCCGCCAATGCCACGGTCGTGACGCCCGCCGGAATGCACGCGGAGGTGGGCGCCCGCGTTTTTTCACCATCCGTGGGGCAAGGGGGATGGGATGGGGGGGGGGGGGCGCCCTCGAACGCGTTTTACAAAACTATGCAACTGTAAAACTAAACGGGGTTGTTGTTGTTTTTATTTTGGGTTTTACCTTTCGATTAGCCCGCACCTCCGACTAGCACGGTTGGCTGCGCACGGTGCGAAAGAAGTTAAACCGTATTCTTAGCTCTTTCGGTAAAGTCACGTTGAAGGGAAAATATATATAAAACAATAAAATTGTTTTATATATATATTTTATTATTTTATTGTTTCCCTTCAACGTGACTTTACCGAAAGAGCTAAGAATATGAATTACTGCAGTCACGAAAGCTTTAAATCAAGAAGTTAAACCGTGCGTGCGTGTGGACGTACGCGCACGGAGCCGCGTAGCTCCCTCTCAGAACGATAGCGCGTCGTCGCCGTGGTCATCGCCATCACGATCGCGGGGAAATGTACTGCGGGCTAAATAACTCCGAACGCGCGATATTGATTCTAAATGTGGACGTGGGTGTGGTGGGGGTGGTGGTGGTGGGGGTGGTGGTGGGGGTGGTGGTGGGGGTGGTGGGGGTGGTGGTGGGGGTGGTAGGGGTGGGGGTGGTGTTGGGGGTGGTGGTGGTGGTGGTGGGGGGGCTCTTTAGCTATGGAGGAGACCAGAGTAGCCGGAAGAAACCCATGAAGACCGGGGGAGAGAATACAAACTCCACACACGCACACAACCATGGTCCCCCGTATAGCCTGTAGTAACAGACTTGTCGGGGCAAGTGCTGGTAGCGAGCACCCGGTGAAGACCGGCACGGCACGCGGAGGTGTCCAGCACCACGCCCGGCCGCCTTTGTCTCCCGGAGGACCCCGGAGAAAAATCCCTTCCAGACCAGAAGAACGTGTCGGTGACCTGGTGGAACGCGATTTCCCCCCCCCCCCCCCAACGCGGGTGGAGGAGTCAACGTGCGAGGTCCTCGGGAACCGCTAGCCCGCGGGTCGCAGCGATAGGAGAGCTGCGAGGAGGCGAGGTGGGCTGCTGCCGCGTAGAAGCTCCCTCCGCCGTGTCTTCGTGTTCCACGCCGTTAACGCGTCCTCGCATTTGACCTTTTAGAGCTTCGGGCAAATAAACGTTGAGGAGGCCGTGAAGCCTCTCCCTTGGCCTGGCTGTTTTTGGAGACGCGGGCAGCGATTTGAGCCCCGAGAATCCTCCGCGTTGGCCCGGAGCCGAGGTCGTCAAGCCTACGAGCCCCCCCCCCACCCCCCCCCCTCCCCCCGTTGTTAGAAGGAAAATCTCAAACGATATTTCGCGCAAAGATAATTGATTTAAATACGGCAGGTAATTGGGGGGGCGGCGGGGGGGGGGGGGGGGGGGGGTGGCGGCTGGTCACGCTCTGGAAATGTCTTGGTGACGGACGACAAAATGTCCCGCACAGTCACTCACGGATTGCGTTGTCCAAGAGTAACGAAACGAAATGTATTCCATCGCCTATTTAGTTTGTTTAATTCGGAATGTGTTGTTGTTGTTGTCGTTGTCGTGTCCACACGCCTGCCGCTGTGTTTGTGCGTACGAGTGTCTCTGCGCGAGACGCGGCCGTTTTGGTCAAAGGCAAATTTTATCTTTTCAGTTCTTCTCCCTGTTGAAGGGTCGTGTGCCCGAACCCCCTGGCCCCTAGGCCTGTGTAAGCCTGAAAGACAAAAACATTGAATTCATAAGGGAGTCCTAATGTTGCCTCGGCCAGTAAAAGTTGAACCCTAACAACCCCAAATGGTACCTCCCCCGGTCTGTATTCAAGCCTCGGGCAATTTATAATGACTCCTACAGTTGCCTTGGTTGCCATAGTCTGGCTGCTTGAGATTCAACAAAATCGGTGCTCGCGAATGTCACTTGCCCCTAACAGTTTGTTTAAAGGGTCTTTGTCTGATGTGTTAATGGGTTCCGGGAATGGACCAGGGAGGAAATGGGCTCATGGGTGGTACAGGAGGAATGTGGAGCTGAGTGGACTTGCCGATGAACCGGCACCAGCGGTGTCAAAATCGGCCTCTGCGGAGGAGGAGGAGGCTCGTGAAGGACGCTACTGGGCAGTCGGGGGCAGTCTGAGGCAGTCTGAGGCAGTCTGAGGCAGTCTGAGGCAGTCTGAGGCAGTCGGAGGCAGTCGGAGGCAGTCGGAGGCAGTCTGAGGCAGTCGGAGGCAGTCGGAGGCAGTCGGAGGCAGTCTGAGGCAGTCGGAGGCAGTCGGAGGCAGTCGCCCTCCAGCAGTATCAGAGGAGCGACGCTCGCAACAACGAGCGGAGCGCCGGGCGGCGAAAACGCAGCGAGTTGGCGCAGTGGGGGAGGCACAGGTGGTCACCTCAGTCGGTCAGGTGGTCACCTCAGTCGGTCAAACCCACGGCCCCTGCTGGGCCTGTCCCGTGAGCTCCCCCTGCTCTCAACGGCGAGAGCCTTCGACGCTTCTCGCTCCAGCCTCAAAGTCTACTGGACAATCTGTGAAACTGCTGGGCATAGCCCATCGCTTTCCCCCAGTTTATAAATAAATATTCAGATTCTGAAGTGCACCTAGCCCGGCGCGGGCTCCGCCGCGGCGGCGTCACCGCCACTTGGCGTCGATCGGCGGCCGCCGGTGTTGCCGCTGGCCTCTCGTAACGGTCGCTGGGCATTTCCCTTAACCTCCTCTCCCCCCCCCCCCCCCCCCCCCCAGATTCAGGGTCGAGGATCCGGGCAGCTCGACCCGCCGGTTCGCTCCCCGTCCGTGGTGGACCTCAGCAGCCGCACGGCGCCACCGCCGCCGCAAGCCGCGGCCAGGGGTAAGCGGCTGCTCGGATGCGGAGGGGCCCCCCGGTCGATGCGGCCGCGCGGCGGGCACGGACCTGACGCGCCTGACGTGCCTGACGTGCCTGACGTGCCTGACGTGCCTGACGTGCCTGACGTGCCTGACGTGCCTGACGCGCCTGACGTGCCTGACGTGCCTGACGTGCCTGACGTGCCTGACGGCGGTCGTCGGAGGCGCTTTGGGAAGGACGGCAAACAAACTGAACGCACCGACGAGCAGCTCTACAGATAGAAGTTTGTCAATCTACATGTCGATGACGATGATTTCAAAGTGCGCAGCTCCAGTGGCTTCCTAATATCGGGAGGAAAGAGCGTTCCAGACGGCCGCGGAAGCGCGTCTGAACGCGCCGCGCGGTGCGTCGGCCGCCCTCTTTGTTCGACGGCCGAGCCAAATGCCGCCGCCGCCGCTGCGAGGGTGAGCGGGGAAGTTCGCGCGACGGCGGTTCATAGCTCCTTGACGAGACCAGCGAGGTCTTTGTGGTTCATTTGTGGCGAGCAACTTTCCGCGTGTGTGTGTGTGTAATGAGTGTGACCTTAAGTTACTCAACCGGTGGCCGTTGGTAGTGGCGACAGAGGCCGCTCGGCCCGGAGGGATTGGGGTACGCACGCGGTGCCGTGCTGCGGCTGACACGGTGACGTTTTGTTTGTCTCTTAATGTCCGCGCTTTGTCCTCCGTCCGTCCGTCCCATCGTGTCCACCACGTCCTTGCATTTACTCTCCACTCCCTCTGCCCGTCTCTGCCTATCCTCTCTGCATTCCTCTATCTCGCTTGCGTGGCCTTGCCCCGCCTCGTCACATCACCGTCTGTCTCATCAGGTCCCCCTGCGTCTCTGTCCCACCGCGTCCCCCGTCAGCAGTTTCCGCCCCTCCGCATCTCCAGCTGTCGGTTTCGTTCTCGCGAGCGTTTCCCCCGGCAAGCACTCGGGGTCAAAACGCATTTCGAACCAGGGGCCGCCGCCACTCCCTCCCTCCGAATAGCCCGAGCCAGGCAAATGAGCGTTGTGCCCCAGGTGACATGGATTTTCCTCGCTTACGACCTGCCATGTGTTTTGTACAAATTCCTTGGCCGCGCTCATCCCGGGCTAAAAGAAAAAAAAACATAAACATCTTCTTCTGTTAAATTTTGATTTAAAGCTTCCGTGACTGCAGGGATTCATCTTCTTGGTTCTTCCGGTAAAGTCACCACGTAGAAGGGAAACAATAAAATAATAAAAATACAAAGCAATACAAATCTCGCGACGTTTCGACCGCAACACAAGCAATCATCATCAGGTGTGAAAACCACAGCAAGAAAATTTGAACAAAATTTTCACACCTGATGATGATTGCTTGTGTTGCAGTCGGAACGTCGTGAGAATTTTATTGTTTTATATTTTTATTATTTATTGTTTCACCTTCTACGTGGTGACTTTACCGAAAGAACCAAGAATATACTGCTAAGCTTGGCAGCGTATTTTAAGCTGGGTGGGAGGAGCCAGAGCGCCTTGACAAAGGAGTTTACATATCAACAGAATAATTTAGCATTGAAGTAGCTGTGTTAATGTGATAGATTATCAGGGTGTGATAAACCATTTCGGTTCTTGATTTATTGTATTTTACGGTGACTTTCAGACCGCAGTCCATTCGCTGACACTGCCTCTTAATACCTTTCACACGACGGTCAATGCTATGGTTTATAGCATGTTATATAATAATAAATAGTATAACAGTGTAATGTTTAACATAATCCATAAGGCAATATATAGTATCGTAATTGTATGGTGAATATACAGCAGTGTGGTATACAGTAGGGTTGGTAGAATAATACATAGTGTAATATTACATTTTTATAGTCTAAAGTATAGGGTAGTATATAGTAACACATTGTATAATTCAATGGTGGGGTTTGTCTATGGCAGTGTATATTACGGTGTATAGTCGTGTAATGTAGAAAAAAGTTTAGTTGGAGGCATATCAATATAATGCATAATGTTCGAGATTACATTGGGCTGTGTATATACGATATTATACAATGTAGTTTAGATTGGAAGGTATAACATTGTAATGTATAGTAGTCTAGTTTATAACATAGTTGTAACGCAACACAGGACAGAGCAGCGCATCGTGGCTGTTTCTCTCTCTCCCCCCCTCCTCCGTTCCGAGCATAGATGGACTCGTCCGTCTGAACAAAGCTCGCCGCTTTCCGTGGTGCTAACGTTGAGGAAAAAATATAAAAAAACGCCACTTTTTTCGACGTAGGATTGTAATGTATAATGACTTATTGTTAGTAGCTCAGCTGATTGGAGAGTATATTGAGTTTATTGATAATATTGATGTAGTTTATATTTTCGTTTTTTATCAGTTTACTATATGGTATTCATTATATAGTGTAGTGTATACCCAGTTACTTTATGTTAATAGCTCAGCTTATTGGAGAATATATTGAGTACATTGATTATATTGATGTAGTTTATACTTAGTTCTTTCACATCGGTTTATTGTATGATAGTTGGGTAGTTGCAGTTATTTAGCGTCAATATACTAAATGCCTCTGTTGATATGTAAATCCTGACTTTAACATAGCTACTTCCGTGACCAGTTACATGCTAATCCCTCACACTAACATCATGCTAATCTCCCAGTTACATGCTAATTTCTGACTTTAACACCCTGCTAATACAACACATTAACACAGCCACTTCAATGCTAAATTCTCCTGTTGATATGTAAACTCCTTTGTCAAGGCGCTCTGCTCCTCCCACCCAAGCTTAAAAGATGCTGCCAAGCTTAGCGGTGTTCATCGAAGCGCTGTCTTGCCGACAGTTCTGTCTCTTCACCTGAGGAAGGCTACTTGTGTTGTGGCCGAAACGTCGTGAGAATTTTATTTTATTATGTTTTATTATTTTATTATTTCCCTTCTACGTGGTGACTTTACCGAAAGAGCCAAGCAGATCTTCTACTGTTGTTGTTGTTGTTTTTGTTGTTGTTGTTGTTTTGCTTGCATCTGCTGTTGCTCTTCCAAAAAGCCACCGTGCGTCGGGTGTGTGTCGAGTGTGGGTAGTCATCATCACGCCCCCCCCCCCCGCTCCTCCTCCCGACCAATCGGCCTGGCCATCAATTCCAGCCTGTCCACTCGCCAGTCCGTCTGTCCCATCACGTACGGTCTTTCCTCTCGCCAGCCCCGTCCACCCCGTCGGCCTGGACTCTCTTTGCGTCTGCCCATTCGCCCGTGACACGGGGAGCGAGCGTGCATGCGTGCGTGCGTGTAGTATATTTTACAGAGAGCCATATAGGCAGGGTCAGTCCCAGGCGGAAGCGGGGAATACAAAGGAAGGTGACAGGGAGCCCAACAGCACGGATTGTTGGGGGGCGGGGGGGCTGAGGGGTGGGGGGAGGAACGGGAGCTCCAGACCATGGGGGTGCAGCAGAGACTATCGATATGAAGACGATCTCCCCCCCCCCCCTCCCCCATCTCTGTTGTGCCGCTGCTTGGCCACGCCGCCCGGCACTTTCCGTCCGTCCGAGAGCAACGAGCCACCACCCCGCTACACCTCCCCCCCCCCCCCCCCACCGGGGAGGTACCCGAGCGAGATCCGGCTATCGGACGGTGGTGAGAGTGCACGTGTCCTGTAGTTTAGCGCCCCGCCCTGGTCGGAGTAGTCGTTTTATTTGTAAAAAAAAAAAAAACTAAATTATTCTACTTATTAGTGTTATTATTATTTCAGAGCACAAACACAGCCGGGCCGTGCCGGCGTCCGCCGTGTTTTCTGTTGTTTATTTATTTGTTTATTTTTATTTTCCCCATCACCCCTCCCCCCCCCTCCCCCTACTCGGGCGCTCTTTCACTCTCGTGCGAGTCGTAAGGGGCGCGTACGGGGAGCGAGAGCTAAAGGGGCAGTCGCCGAAAATTTGCTCGCTCGCTCGCTCCACCGCCGTCGGAAAGGGCCTCCGGCTAGACAGCTCTAGGGCGGGGGGACAGAGGTATTTTGGCCTACTCTTCCACGCTGGCCAAGGCGTCTTGGAAGAAGGGGTGCTTCGCACCAACACTTTTACCCCCCCCCCCCACACGCGCAACATGCCCATCACTTGAACCAATTTACACTGCCGGGCGGACGTGGCAGCGGTTGCGGCGGTTGTGGTGGCTTGAACAATCTCGCGCCTTCGCTAATTTCGCAACCGGCCCCCGGCGCGACGTCCCGATTGGTCCAGTGCGTGTCACGGCCGAAAGCTCGCAAGCAGCGTGCGGCACGCATCGCGATAGCGAGTGATCAAAATAATAAATATTAAAGCTAACGCCGCCGCCGCCGCCGCCGCTGCCACCACAACCTTTTGTCCTCGACAGCAGAGCACACGCCGTCCTAGCAACTCTGGCACGCCGCCAGCAGCTTGCTGGTGAAAAAGCGTGATGGGCCATACTTTTTTGCCCTGCAGCCAGCCAGCCAGCCAGCCCGCCCGCCCGCCCACCCAAATCGCTGCTCAGGTGGAAGCTGGGGTGATTGGATGGCGGCGGCGGCGGCGGGAGTTAGATGTGTTCTGAGAAAGGGGGCAGTGGGGGGTGCTGTGCTTTCGGAGAGGGTGGCGGTGGCGGGGGGGGGGATGATGAGGAGGGGGATGCATTGGGGAATTGGAACGGCGTGTACTAGCGAGTGCGTGTGTGTGTGTGAGCTGTCGAAGGGGGGGAATAATACGACGATGAGCGGATTTAGTGCTCGGGGCCGGTTGTCCTTGTACAATCGCTCACTCGATCGCTAGCTCGCTCGCTCACAAACTTGATGACTCGCCCGTTGATGATTATTTGCTCATTCTCGTGCTCACTCACTGACTCGCTCGCTCTAATTGATCACTCTAATTGATCACTCGTTATAGTTCATCACTTGTTCGTGCGCTTGATCATTCGCTCGCTCATCAGCTCGCTCAATTCATCGCTCGCTCGCTCGCTCACTCGCTCACCACACCCCCCACCCACCCACTCACTCGCCTGGTAGCTCGCTCGCTC